CTGTAATAGATGAGACACAATCTGGCTTTTTGAACAAGACACACATTGTTAATAATATAAAGTTGATTCAGACTTGATACAGGAGGACAGCATTCTTTTCTTAGATTTCTATAAGGCTTTCGATTCTTTAGAGCAGTGTTTCCTAACCTTTTTTCAGTCGCGGCACCCTTTGGAAATTTTAACAAACTTGTGGCACCCTACAAAATTAATTTTGTCACAATATTTGAATTTCTAACTTCGATATGATAATTTGAAAAGTATAGATATTCGGTACAACAGGGAAGAACTGCAGAATATAATGTCATACAGATATTTTTAATATTATAAAAAGAAATGTGTCTATCAATGGTGGCAATCAGTAGGCTAATTTCTAAGAGACCAATTTATATGACAGATTTTAATGTAGGCCTTTATTCATATGTAAACATTGTGAGATAGCTAGTTATAATGGTAATTAAACAAAGTTTTGATTTTACAGCTGGGTAATTTTGTTGCAGTAGCACAAGATAGCTTGATTTAAAACTTTGAAGTGAATAAAAAATGACAAGGAGGCTAAGCAGTTAATAATAAAATAAGAACAAATAAAGAAATTACTAATGATAGCACAAATAAAAAAAAAATCACGATAGGCCTACAAATGAAATAAATTGCTTTTTAGTTTTTCAGGTAGGTCTAACACACAGTAGGGCTATTAAGAGATTTCTTTTTAACAAATTTTACCAATTATCCAAATAATGTTTAATCCTAGAAAGCTATTATCATCAGAGGACACATGAGCATAACATAGCGGTTAGCAGATCAATGAATGAGAGGGCAGCGTTACCAGAGTTGCCCATATACCACACCATGTTACAACACAGTAGGGCTATTGCAGACAGAAACAATACTGTACTACAGAGATGTTTCCTGTCAGCTTGATTTCTGAGTGGACTTTGCTGTTCCGATGAGCATGAACGGTATATGAGTGGAGCACTCACATGGGCCGCGAGCGACTGAGCGCATAACACACACACGCATAGAGCGGGATCATACAGAGCGTCACACCACGTGAAAGTGAATCCTGAGCGGTGAACTCATTTTCGGCAGCCGGAATTTCGGTACATCTCTAATTATTGGCGACATTAGAAATGGATATTATATAATAGCTGCTTTTTTGAACATTTTAGCAATTAAAAAATATTAAAAAAGGATTTTTTACACGGCACCCCTGCTCTCGACAGACGACACCCCGGTTGGGAAACACTACCTTAATGTACAAAATTCAGAATGCAAAATTCTCAAAATCCCTGGTAGCACTTCAGGCAGGCATTCTTCAGATTTTGGTAGCCCCAGAATGAATTTAACTAGCCTGAATTAAAAAAAAAGACTTAAGCTGAACTTCACTGTGGACAAATCAGCAGGATCAAAAACTTCTGTGATTGTATTTTTCCTTCAAATAACAAGTCGAGAGAGCAGGGGTGCAATGGATCCCCGACTCACGGTTTGGATTGTATTACGGAATTTGATTCACCAGATCGGGTAATTTTTTTGGATGAGCAAAAAAAAAAAATATTTTATTTTATTTTATTTTATTTAAAGAACACTAAGTACTTCTTCGATACAACAGCTAAAAACTAGATTTTCGGCAGCCGAAATTTCGGTGCATCTCTAATTATTGGCGACATCAGAAATGGATATTATATAATAGATGCTTTTTTGAACATTTTAGCAATTTAAGAATATTAAAAAAGGATTTTTTACACGGCACCCCTGCTCTCGACAGACGGCACCCCGGTTGGGAAACACTGCTTTAGAGCACCAATTTATTATTAAGTCATTACATATATTTGGTTTTGGGGATATGTTTTGCAGAGTAATTAAAACTCTTTACAATAATGGAAGCTCTTCGATTATATTATAGCATGGCAGACAAGGGTGTCCTATTTCTCCCCATCTATTTCTTCTTTGTGTGCAGCTACTGTCAGTGTTTGTTTTATGAAGCGGTATTCGAGGTATCCGTATAGCAGATCGAGAAATATTTATTAGTCAACTAGCAGATGACACCACCTTATTTTTCAGAGATGTTTCCCAAATCCATATAGCAATTAATTATATAAAACGTTTCTCTGAAGCTTCAGGTCTTAATCTAAACATAAGTAAATGTGAATTAATGTCTATTAAAAATTGCACAGCACCCACTATTTATAATATTTCAGTTAAATCTGAAATTACATATTTAGGCACGGTGATTACTAAAAATCAAGATAAGAGATGTACCTTTATAGCAGATCGAGAAATATTTATTAGTCAACTAGCAGATGACACCACCTTATTTTTCAGAGATGTTTCCCAAATCCATATAGCAATTAATTATATAAAACGTTTCTCTGAAGCTTCAGGTCTTAATCTAAACATAAGTAAATGTGAATTAATGTCTATTAAAAATTGCACAGCACCCACTATTTATAATATTTCAGTTAAATCTGAAATTACATATTTAGGCACGGTGATTACTAAAAATCAAGATAAGAGATGTACCTTAAACTTTGACCCTGTTATAATAAAAGCTCAAAGAAGATTCAACACATGGTTGCAGAGAGACTTGGCCTTGAGAGGCAGAGTACTGCTTGCTAAGGCAGAGGGCATCTCCAGGCTTACGTGTGCTGCACTCTCTTTATATGTGGACAACAAAATCTGTAATCAGTTGATAAAATCCGGTTTAATTTTGTTTGGAAAAACAAAATCCATGTTGTTAAGAAGTCTGTAATAATTAACACATACGAGTATGGTGGGTTGAATTTCCTTGATTTCTCTTCTTTGAACAACACTTTCAAAATTAATTGGATTAGGCAGTTTACGTGTGATCCAAATTCAATCTGGAATTTTATCCCCAATTATTTCTTTTCTAAATGAGGGGGTCTCCCTTTCCTATTGATCTGTAATTATAATATTGCTAGAATCCCTTACAATTTATCTAAATTTCATAAACAGGCATTACTTGCATGGTCAATAATCTTGAAGCACAATTTCTCCCCTCACCGGTACTTCATTAGGAACAATCAAGATATTGTATGTGTATATAAGAGTAAATCTTTGTTTTTTAGTAATTGGCTTGAGAACTTAACTCAGGTCTTATTTTAAGTTATGAAGAATTTTTATGTCAATTTGATTTTCCAGTAACTCCGAAAAAAATTGTTATTGTCATGGATGCTATTCCTAAAGGAGTTATGCTTTTAAAGGAACCTGTTCGATCATCCAGCACTTTACCCATTTCTTTAGACCCATTTGAAATCCTAGATGGAAAACTATACTTTTTGTCACATCCTTCATCACATAACTATAAAATTAGATCGCTTTTTCAAAAGGAGCTTGTGACAATTCCATATGTGGTGTCTTATTGAAAGAATTCGGTTGACCATATTGATTGGAAAGAAGTATGGACTCTGTCTTTGAAATATATATTAACTAACAAGGTTAGAGAAATCTCATTCAAACTCTTACACAGATTTTATCCAGCTAAAGTGTTTTTGAAAAGCTTTAAATCAGACATAGATACAAGCTGTTCTTTCTGCAGTGCCCCTAATGAAACTGATATTCATATCTTCTGGGACTGTCCTCACACAGCTATTTTGTATTGAATTTTCTTATGTTATTATTCACAATGTGCTGCCGGGTTTCTCTTTGTTTTTAAAGGATGTACTGTTTGGCTTCTTTAATACACAAAAAGATAAAATTAATGAATCCTTTATTATTATTAACCTATTATTACTTCTTGCAAAATTTTATATTCACCGAAGTAAATTCAAAAAATCTAAATCCTTTATTTATTATTGTTAAAAAAGAGGTTCAACAGTATATCCTATAGACTATTTCATCTTCCAAGAATCTTAAAGCTTATAAAACAGTAAACTTGTTTCATCTTTTTAATTTATTTTGCTAAAGCTTTTGTGTTGTATTATTTATTTATTTATTGTTATATACATGTATAAACGGTGCTTTGCTTGTAATGTCACTTCTTTGTACACAATTTTGATATTTCTGTACTTATATCTTTGGTACCTTGGCATTAATTAATAATAAAAAAGACCACCGAAAACAATACAATCTCACAGACCACTAGAGCTCGTTTCTCCTGACAATTGACGGCACAGCGGATGCCGTTCAGACATTACCTGTGACACCACGGTGGCCACCAGCTTGAACACAGAGTTCTCTATCTTGGGCTCCTGTGGTTCTGGTTCACTTTCATCGCTGGGTTGAGCCGCAGTGGCCTCCGGACGGATCCGCTTACAGGCCAGCAGCAGCGTGTCCGCCGGATCGGTACCTCTCTTCCTCTTCACCCGCAGAATAGTCGTGCTCGGGTCCATTTCGGGTATGCTGTGTCACCAAAGAGCGATTTAAGATGACAGACAAACAAGTACACGAGCCTGCCAATGACAACAACAACCTGCACTGTAGCTTTTCTTTCTTCCTTTTCACTCGTTTTTCTCCTTTGGCGGTTTTCTCTTCCGTGAACGTCACATTATGGAAGAAAAATAATGTGTTTTTTGAACATTAAAGCATGTCAACATATTCTGTTACACCAAATACACAAAATAACGATCTTTAAAAAAGCATCATATGACCCCTTTAATGGAAGAATCATCAACCATACGGTAAATGAAATTGTGTAGTTTTAAGGTAGACCACACAAATGTTTCCAGTATAAACTGCTATAATACTAATCTACTCTAATTTACTACAAATTAATGTATTACAAGGGAATGTGCTATGCTGAGCCTAATCTTGAGTTTGTAATCTATTACATCCTACTTTTTCTTGGTCCTATTTTATTCTGTGACATTAAAATCGATTCAGTCCGGAGTAGACATGGGCTCTTGGAGATCAATAAAAGAAACACTTCTGTGTGAATGCGCTCACACCCCCATCCCCCGACACACAGAATCATGGAGAGAGACAGAAAAGGCTCTCTTTCAAACACACACACACGCGCGCACTCGCTCTGTTGCACACATCTTCTGTTGAAGCGCTCACAAGCGCGAATCCACTGACGAAGTGCGGATGAAAATGAGTGGGACACTCGTGTTAGAGTAAACGCGTGTTTTTGAGTTCGACCCTATACTCTGAAACGATCACCATGGGAGCTGTTTGGACTGCACTGCTCCTCTGTTTGTTTTTGCTCTTGTTAAATAGTCGCCAAAGCGCCGCACTTCCTCACAGCACTGGTAAGAGTCTTCACTTTGTTACACGCGATGCTCTACACACGCAATTTCAATTTGCACGTTTTTGCGACTTGTTTACCTCCCTTTGTTTTGATACCATTTGTTTTTCTGCTTTTCTGTAAGAACTAAACAGATATTTTAAAATGCGTTCATATTTTTCCTGACATTTTTTACTTTTTCAGTATCAATTTAGCCTATATTACAGTATCCGTGTTTAAAACGTTACGCCTTCTGCAGTAATAACTACAGTCGCAACAATAGTTAAGTTTATTTACAAGAAACCAATATTTTTGCAGTTCATTAGTACACTGCAGTGTAAAGTCAGCAATGTTTACAGTAAAGTCTCGTGTTGTATTTGTGATACACAGGTTCAGATCAGTGTGCAGACGGAAGCGATGCCTGTCACATTGATGCTATTTGTCAAAATACCCCAACTTCATACAAGTGCACTTGTAAAACAGGCTTTAAAGGGGACGGGAAACATTGTGAAGGTAACCGCTACCTTTCAATTCATTTAACCAGACTGTGGTCTCCCCTGTAATCTGGAAAACCTCACTTTTTAATTATTGTATACAAGCACTGTACACACAGTATGCAACTTGAGTATTTCAATTATTCATTTTTTAGTAGTTTTTTGTTGCATGCTTTCTTTCAAATCGGTCTTTAACATTTTAAAGTGTTATGCTGTTGTATTGGAAGGTCAATGCCCCTATAATTTAGAAATTACAAACTTGATTTCTTTTCCATTTCCTAGACATTGACGAATGTGATCTGGAATACAATGGTGGCTGTGTACACGAATGTAACAACATACCTGGCAATTACCGCTGTACTTGCCTTGATGGGTTTCATTTGGCACATGATGGACACAACTGTCTCGGTAAGTACAAATTCACAAAGAAATCACGTATACATGTGTGAGAGGTATAAATGAATGATCGTATGGGATGAGTTATTCCCACTACATACAACAAGTGCTTTAGAACAGAATTCACTCATTTCCACTGAGTATGTTTGTTCTAGAAAATAACCAAATCTTATCAAATGAAGTTGTTGTATATATGGAAATGTGCTGTTTTGTGATGTCATTATCAGTGCTTTAACACACTCTGTCTCTAGATGTGGATGAATGTGTCTTCAACAATGGTGGCTGTCAGCATGTATGTGTCAACACCATGGGAAGCTATGAGTGCCGCTGCAAGGAAGGCTTTTTCCTGAGTGACAATCAACACACGTGCATCCATCGCTCCGTGGGTGAGCTACTGTCTTTAACAAACATTTAATGGCTCAGTCTACCATGTTCACCATCATACTGAACAATGAATATACAGTATAATAGGGTCACCATACATCTTATTTTTCCCAGCCTGGCTTTCTAAATTGCCTGAAATGTCTGGATTTTGGCTTTGTTTTTCTATTGTTTTCATACTTGCAGAAGGTAATGCCTGAAATGTAGTTTGACCAGTAGCTTGCAGGCTTTGACATAATCGACCAATTGTGGTGTGTGAGAAGGTGGGATCTACATAGAACGGTCGAAGCAATACAAATACATGTGTATATATAATGTATGAGGACTGTAGAGAACATGTCTATAAGAAAACAGAGCCAAAACATTTGAGACCATTTAGAAATCCTGACCAGGACATGTCAGGGTTAAAGACACCATATGGTCATGGTTCATAAATGCGCAGGTCCAAATCTCGTAATGGACATTTTTCTGAACTTGGATGTCAAAAGTGCATGAAGAAAGGCTTGTTTTGTGTATGTGCAGAGGTCTCAGTGTGCTAAGTCAGGGATAAGTGCAAAGGAAAGCCAATCTAATTTCTAAATGTTCTCACATAAGATCATGATTGACAGCACAATGGCGAATGACAGCTTTTAAGTTGGGTTCCCTCTCCAGGGCATTATCTATAGGCGTTCAGTTCCAAAGGGCCCATGCTGTGGGAAAGGGAGCCCTATGTTCAGAGGAACAAAACAAGTTAATAACTGCAACACTCAGGGCTTTGTGGCCTGTGTCATAGATGATAATAAAAAACCTTTTTATGTGTCTGTATCTTCTCAGCTGCGAGTATTGTTTTCTCCTTGGTAAATTGAGCTAAGGTTTGCAAGGCTTTCCACCCCATTTGCTTTCTCTGGGTAAACTTGCTAAATCCTATCAGCACATCCACTGAGCTGCAGAATGAATGGGAGGAAACCGGCCCTCTACACTGACCCATAGACCCGCTATTGATGTCAGGTCAGGGTGTGTGGAAGTAAATGGCGTTGAATTTGAAAAGAATTTTCAAGTGTTTGGATATTTTTTTCCCCTGATTAGTGTTTCCTCAGATTTTTTTCCTGAAACTGATTAGTAATGTAAAGATGAACTAATGTAGCCATTAACTTTATTAGGGATGTATAGTCCATACTGAAACACTTACTATGAAAAACACAGAGCTGCACAGGGTTTATGTCTTAATTGGCCTTGAATGTTGATCAAATCAATGTATTTTCCTTTCATTATTATGTTTATTTTCTTAAAATCTGCATAAAAGTAATGTGATTATTTTATTATGTATAGCCTATAGATAAAATAGAACAGATTTGATGTTAAAGGGATTGTTCACCCAAAAATAAAAAAAATAAAAATGCTCACTCATGTCGTTCCAAATATGTATGACTTTATTTCATAAAAGAAGATATTTTGAGAAATGTCTCAGTGTTTTTTTTTTTTTTGGAAGTCAATGGTCGCCAAAACTGTTTGGTTACCAGCTTTCTTCAAAATATCTTCTTTTGTGTTCCAGAAAGAAAGTCAAAAGTTTGGACTGACATGATGGTGAGTAAATCATGGGAGTATTTTTATTTTTGGGAGAACTATCCCTTCATTATGTCATTAAAGGAATATTCAATTAAATACAAACTGAGGGTTGTTTTCTATGGTAATCAACAGTATGCCATAGATGCTGCAGATAGATCTTAATTTATATTTATCCCCAAATATTTCTTTAAAATATCAGTACGTTTATGTAATACCAAAACGAAGTGTTTCAGGCTCTCTGACTGTATCTCTTCTTCACAGAAGGCCTGAGCTGCATGAATAAAGAACATGGCTGTGCTCACTTCTGCAAGGAAACACCCAAAGGTGGTGTGGCCTGTGAGTGCCGGCCGGGTTTCGAGCTGGCCAACAACCAGCGGGGCTGCATCTGTACGTGTGAATGGCATTTCTGACCCACCATTAAGCTGAGAAATACCACAGGGCGTCTCACTGGAGCTGTTGATGTGATACTGTTTGTGTTGTGTTGCATAGTGACCTGTAACCATGGCAACGGGGGCTGCCAGCACATCTGTGAGGACACCGAGCAGAGGCCCATCTGCAGGTGTCATGTCAGGTACACCCTGCACGCAGATGGCAGAACCTGTGTAGGTAAGGCTACTTTACTAGTTCTAAAGCTTTTGTCCCAACCCACTTCTCCAGCTAGTGTTTATGATGATCTCTTGGCAGGTATTTTAAGCTGATCTATATTTTATCTACTTATGTGCGAAGGTAGAGATAGAGATCTCTCATTCAGACACAAACACACGCTCTATCTGATAATGAGGAAGTACAGCTGGAGCCTGCAGGCTGTGTGTGTGGGGTCTGTAGTTATCGTTGTCTCTCTACGTTCTGTCGGCATTGTCTATGATTTTGCTTCTGCTCTTCTTGATTGTCCTGAAGCATAGAACATGACAATCTTTATGTATCTGTGAACACTACAACACAGCGCCACAGTGGTTAGGACAGAGTCAGTCAAGCAGTCAGGGAGGTCTCTTTGCCTGCAATTGGTTTGCTGTTATAGATGTATTTTGTTTATGAAAAGGTGTATTTATCGGTGTGGTTGCTTATCAGGTTCGATTGCACTCTGTGATGCCAGAGGGAGAAACATTACAGCAAAATGTGATAAACAGTCTCCTGCTTTAGATGCAATTGATACTGTTCCTGCATCTTATACACTGTCGTTCACTGTACATATTAATTAAATTTATTTAGCATTCAAATAGCTTTCAAAGCCAACAATATTTGTAGTATGCATAAATTTATTTATATAATAACTGCTATTATATATACACTAATGTTCAAAAGTTTGGGGTCAGAAGTTTAAAAATGTGAATCTCTTATGTTTACTAAGGATGCGTTTATTTGATTGTAAATACAGTAATATTGTGAAATATTATTACAATGCAGAATAACTGTTTTCTATTTTAATATATATTCAATATAATTATAATGTATTATATTATATATTCCTGTGATGGGAAAGCTGAATTTTCAGGAGCCGTTAATCCATTCTTCATTGTAACATGATCTTTCAGAAATCACTTTAATATGCTGATTTGGTGCTCAAGTAACATTTCTTCTTATTATCAATGGTGAAAAACGATTTTTTTCCCCCCCTGGATTCCAGGAACAATGCTTATTTGAAATAAATTTTTTAACAATGTATATGTCTGTCACTTTTGATCAGTTTAATGCAACCCTGCTGAAGAAAAATTACTTTCAAAATATAAAGTAGTTATATTACTACATGTAAATGGAGAGCTCAGTTCATCAGTGCAGTGGGTGATGGAAATGTAGTCCAGGGTATAGTGTAACAGTCTGTGTAGTGTGAGAGTCCATGTAGTGAGCGGGTGACCTCTGGTGGTGAGTGAACGGAAGTTCATAGACCAGATTCGTGACATAGCGCCGCGCCCCCCCCCAAGGAGCGGACGCTCCTATCTCAATATAATCCAGGAGGGCGATGGAGCAGAGGCGGTACAGGGGGAGGGACGGAGGGCCAGGTCCATGTGGAAGTGAAGGGACCGGAGACTAGGGCAGAGTAGGGTACCCAGGCTGAAGCAGGAAACCAGGACAGATCCGGCAGTATGGGTGGAACTGAGGACCACCACGACAGAGCAGACGGAGCAGCAGACCACCACGGCGGAGCAGAAGACCACCAAAGCAAGACAGCAGACCACGGCGGAGCAGACGGAACAGGCGGAGCAGAAGACCACCACGGCGGAGCAGATGGAACAGAAGGCCACCACGGAGGAGCGAAGGACCACCAGGCCGGAGCAGACGTAGCAGGAGACCACCACGGAGGAGCAGACGAAGAAGAAGACCACCACGGAGGAGCAGACGGAGCAGAAGACCACCATGAAGAGCCAGACTGATCAGGAGACCATGGCAGAGACCATGACCTAGGGAGAGCAGAGACAGACAACACAGACAGCCACGGCGGAGCAGACGGAGCAGAAGACCACCACAGCGGAGCAGACGGAACAGGCGGAGCAGAAGACCACCACGGTGGAGCGGACAGAGCAGAAGACCACCACGGCAGAGTCTGGGAACTAGGGAAAACTGAGACACAAGAAACAGACAGAGCACATACGGACTCAAGGACCGAGGCAGGAAACGTTCAACAAGTTCAACAATATTTTCCTTGGTGACAACTGAATGGGCAGACAGTTCCAAATCTGGCTTATTGACTGAAACTGGACAAGAAGACAGTTCACAAACAGGCTCACTGACTGAAACTGGACAAGAAGACAGTTCACAAACTGGCTCACTGACTGAAACTGGCAAGACCGATAGTTCAGGATTAGATACACTTGGGGAAACAGAACAAGCAGATAGTTCCTGGATGGTCTCTATGGCAGTGACAGGGTTGACGGGAAAGACATGGGGTGCATTTATAGTTTCAGGGCTCATGACAGGCAGGGTTAAGGGTTCATAGGCAGGTTTTTTGGCTGTGACAGACAGTTCGCAATCAACCCCCATGGCTGGTTCAGAACAGGACGAGAGTTCAGAGATGGCCTCCTCGGCCGGTTCTCCACAGACGGCCTCCATAGCCGTGATAAGACAGGCAGAGAGTTCATAGATGGATACCACTGACACCTCTGGAGGTTCTGCAGCGGATGCCGCCACCTCTGGAGGTTCTACAGTAGTAACATCAGGAAACAGGTAGAGTTCATTAACATTCTCCTTAGCTGGACAGGTACAGCGTTCATCAACGGTTCCTTGCCAGTCTGGGATACTGAAGAACAGTCCTTGAGGATCTGGGTGCAACAGACAAGAAGTGACAGGACTCTCAGCGAACAGACGTGCTATGACGTGACTCTGGATGATAAGCTGTGATGTGACGTGAATCTGGAAGATCAGCTGTGATGTGACGTGACTCTGGATGATCAGCTGTGATGTGACGTGACTCTGGATGATCAGCTGTGATGTGACGTGACTCTGGATGATCAGCTGTGATGTGACGTGACTCTGGATGATCAGCTGTGATGTGACGAGACTCTGGAAGTTCAGCTGAGATGTGACGAGGCTCTGGAAGTTCAGCTGAGACATGACAAGACTCTAGAAGTTCAGCGGAGGCGTGACCTGATTCATGAAGATCAACGTGACCTGACTAGACTCATGAAGATCTACTGTGACTTGACTTGATTCATGATTGGCAGCTGTGACATAACGAGGCACTGTTGTGTCCGCCTTTTTGCGATCAGGCTCCGCTGTCGCCGCCATTTTGTGAGCGTGCTCTAGTGCAGCCGCCATTACACGAGTGAGTGAACGATAAACCAACAGTCAACAGAGCATAGTCCAGAAACTGACTGAGTGACGAACGCGGACCTTCGC